GGTCTCCGCCGCCCCAAATTTCGTCCCCTCGGCAAAGGACACGGAGGGCCGCTTGGCCTTGGCGATGCTGGAGGTGCGGGGGATGGCGAAGGGCTGTGAGACGTCCTCGGAGTCGAAGGCGGACGGGTCCGGGAGCCCCTCGCTGAGGGGGGACACCCCGTCCTGCAGCTCAGCCCCCCCCAGCAGTGGGACGCCTGCGGGAGAAAGGGGCGAGGGTTAGGGCTGCCGGAGCTACCCCCCTGCCCAGGGACACATTTGGGGACACTGCGACAGGGGCTGATGCAATAGGATTGTCCCTGGGAGCGTTTCCCCGGGAGGAGGTTGTGAAATGGGGTTGCCCACACCAGGCACGTCCCATCACACGAGGCCAAGCACAGCCCCAGCGTGTCCTTGCAGACAGGAAAACAAGGGTATGAAAATAATCGCTGCCTGTGCCCAGCACGCATCCCTGGGATGCCCAAGGGTAAAAAACAGGGCAGGATTGATCCTGGCAGCCCAGAAGGGCTGTGGGTGGCCGGGGAGGGGAGGAGCAGCCGCGGATATCACCTTCTCTGGGAGGGACGGAGTACTCGGGTCCCTCGTTGTCGGTGTCGAAGGAGGAGGAGAAGGAGCTGTCTGAAACCCACGCGGCCGACGGCGGCTCGATGAAGCTGGGGTTGAAGGGGATTTCCGTGTCGTGGTGGGAAACTGGGGAGGAGAAGACACCCAGCTGAACTCTAGCACCCCAGGGTGCTCGGGGCTGGGGTGGGAGAGCAACGCCTGCCCCGAGCCGTGCGGTGGGGCGAGGGGGAGTGCAGGCTCACCCCAAAATGATGACAATGCAAAGAGCACGGGGTGGGGATGACACCTTGGAAGGGCTGTCGGCAGCTCTGCTTTTTTTACCTGTGACTTTGGGAAGTTTGTAGCCACCCAGGGAAAAGCAAGGCATCATAGCGCTGAGGTTTGCCAGCACCCCCCGCACGTGGTGCTTCATCCGGGCCACCACGTCGTCATCCGGCACGGCCGCCCTGCGCGGGGGATATGGGTGTGAAGGGATGCAGGAGACGGGGTTTTGCATGGAAGGTTGCAAAATATAACAAATACCTGTCTCTAGCATCCGCTGGGCCGGCTCCGCAGCAACAGCAGGCGACGCAGAGCAGCAGCAGCAGGAGAGGGACGAGGATGGCGGCGGCCCGGGGCCCGCGGGGCTTAAAACCCGC